GTGCAGCCGGGACTGAGGGGCCAAACAGGCCTTATGCCACACCCCTCTCCTCGGCATTTCCTATTGGCTGGCTTAGGCGGCTGTCATAAGAACATAAGAATGGCCGTACCGGGTCAAACCAAAGGTCCATCTAGCCCAGTATCTGTCTACCGACAGTGGCCAATGCCAGGTGCCCCAGAGGGAGTGAACCTAACAGGTAATGATCAAGTGATCTCTCTCCTGCCATCCATCTCCACCCTCTGACAAACAGAGGCTAGGGACACCATTCCTTACCCATCCTGGCTAATAGCCATTAATGGACTTAACCTCCATGAATTTATCCAGTTCTCTTTTAAACGCTGTTATAGTCCTAGCCTTCACAACCTCCTCAGGCAAGGAGTTCCACAAGTTGACTGTGCGCTGTGTGAAGAAGAACTTCCTTTTATTTGTTTTAAACCTGCTGCCTATTAATTTCATTTGGTGACCCCTAGTTCTTGTATTATGGGAATAATTAAATAACTTTTCCTTATCCACTTTCTCCACATCACTCATGATCATATCCCCCCTTAGTCTCCTCTTTTCCAAGCTGAAGAGTCCTAGCCTCTTTAATCTCTCCTCATATGGGACCCGTTCCAAACCCCTAATCATTTTAGTTCCCCTTCTCTGAACCTTTTCTAGTGCCAGTATATCTTTTTTGAGATGAGGAGACCACATCTGTACGCAGTATTCGAGATGTGGGCGCACCATGGATTTATATAAGGGCAATAATATATTCTCAGTCTTATTCTCTATCACCTTTTTAATGATTCCTAACATCCTGTTTGCTTTTTTGACCGCCTCTGCACACTGCGTGGACGTCTTCAGAGAACTATCCACGATGACTCCAAGATCTTTTTCCTGACTTGTATCTGTCCACTTGGCGCGCTGGCTTTTGTGGTTCCCATCCTCAGCAGGCCCCTGGCCCATGGGCTGGCTAGTCGCCTGGGAGCTTGGCATTGCAACTGAGCTCGTCCCCAGGGTCTGGCATAAACCCCAGGTGTCCTGGCTCCTTAACCGGTGCTCACAGCAATGCACTCCACTCCCTTCCCGGAGCTGGGCCCAGGAGAGGACCCAGGCGTCCTAGGTCCCCAGTCTGTTCCCTGACCCACGTTGCTTAGGGTCCATCTCATGCGGTTCTTAATTTGTACCAGGCCTTGCCAAGGCTGAGCTGTGTCAGTTGTGAAAGTAAAAAAAATGCTTCAGCCCCAGCACCTCTTTCATGAGAGATTAACCCCGATCTCACCTACCCAGTGTGGATTCGGTCAGCGCGACGCCACAGGAGTCTTCCCTAGCTGCGCAGGTCTGTAGGTCGCCTCTGCAGCTCTCTCCTAGGCCAAAGCAAACCTCACACTGCAGACAGGCCCCTGGGGACGGAGAGAGAACATGAGCCACCTGGATTTCTCCCTCCCTGGCCTTCCCCTGGGCTCGGCGGGGAAGCGCCGGGTACAGCGCCCTGGGGTCCCTCATCAGCATCGTCAATGGTCCCAGCTGTCTACAGACATTTCACGCTGCTCTGTGGCTGCGTCTCCCTGGATTTTGCTGCGGATTTTAGTTCCCCAGTGGGTTTTCCCACCTCACAAACACCAGAGAGATCCCCAGCGGGTGTGAGCGGGTGTCGCTCTCCAGTGCGGTGCAGCAAGGACCGAGTCGCACCTGCCATCGACTCCAGTGTAGCTGGGGCCCCTTGACACCGGCTGGGCCCTGGCCCCCCTGACTCCAGTCCAGCTGCGCCCCCCTGACACCGGCTGGGGATCACATATAAATGCCCTTCAAATAGCCTTGGGCTCCTGCTACTGAAATTCAGACCCGCTGCCTGTCACACAACAGACAATCCCCGGTCGAAATGCCCTTGGCCTCTGGCCAGCTCTGAAACGTGCCCAGTCACGACACGATTCTAGGGATTTAAAGAATAAATATTTCCTCCCATTTCCACAATTGTTTCACTCGCTGTCACAGGGACTTTGTGACTCCCAGCCCTCTCCTCCGGACATTGTCACTCTGACGCCCCCAGCTCAGCCCCCGTTATTCTGCGGCTGCTTTTCGGTTACGTGCGTTAACAGTTTTACTCGACAGGCAGCTCTGAGCTGTTGGTACGTTGGAGAAGTTAGGAAATCAGCCCCTGTAGGAACAGACCCAACTCACCCATAACCAGGAGAGCAGCGAGGATGCAGACGGCAATAGAAGCCTCCATGGTGATGGGGAAGCAGTAGATCGGCGCTGGGGTCTCTGATGCAGTCAAATCTCTGGCCAGGGGATTTATCACAGACAGGCTGAAATAAGATCAGAAGAGAGATTGGACATGCATGAGCCAGTCAACAGGGTGGGGGTATCCTCAGTTTTGAGGTAGCCAAAACCCTGACCCCTTCGTGGCTGGTGTGTTTGTGTCATCCACCCGGAGAAGTCAGAGACAAACCAGAAATGCTCCTGCTGGAAGGTTGCGGCATAAGGTGTCTGTTTCTGGGGATCCAGAACGATCACACACAAGAACCACAAACAAGGGAGAGACAAAACAGGCTGCTCACTATGTCAACAAGAGACAACTCAGCCCACCTTGTTCTAGGCTGCTTCATTACAAACTGCCTCTGGTCCCACGCTTCCCTGCAGAGCTCCTTAGACTGCCAGCAGGACCAGGAAACCCCACAAACTCCCCCGCCCCCACTTTTAGAGTGATAGTTTGCCATTGCAATCCCGTCCTTGAGACACAATGTCCAGCTCCCTGTAAAGCGGCTCTCAGCCACACACTACTTTCAACAGAGTAGGGATCCCAGGGCCCAGGCCAGGGCAACCCCTTATCCCTTGTCCAGAGCCAAATTCCTTCTGTGTCCCGCTCCCCAGAGATCAGGGTCTGTGGCCCTGCACCATCACCCCAGATTCCCCAGGGGGA